TTTTTTTTTCTTTCCACTGCACTGATGTTAATCTCAGATCATTCTAATTTTAAGTTTAACAATATAAAGCCTGATGACTTGAATTGCTATGACTCAGCTCTGCGGTATTGTTTATCCTTACCTGAGAGTGATCATGTAAGTATTCAAAGTTGATCTATAAAAATGCCTACCTTATATTTTGGTTAAGAACACGTAGGATCTCTCAGCTAGTGTGACCAGCAGCTTCACTAGCTGAGGGGTTGCTAGCTGGGGATTTGGAAGCTGTAATCCACCCGAAAGGGGGGGGTGTTCCAAGATGTGCACTAAAGTAATGTTTTTGTATTTCAAACAAGCCAGGTCTTCAGGGATCTGTTGCTTTGCTGCACTAGATCAGCAACTAAAACACTACTGACTGGTACAAGTAAATTCACCAGGTGCTACCCTCTTTCTGATGTTAAAAGCTTCAGATCCTTAATAGACTTAATATATATGTACCTTAATTTCATATCTTGACACCCTTTTTAAATTCCCTTTGCCTTTTGGCTCTTTCACCCATAATCAAATACAGCAGACTATTCAAGTTTTGGCGAATGCATTTCAGTTGAATATTAGTATGCTAACAATTATTGTATCATAATCCAGCCTTATCTAATGATATTAGAGAGTTTAATGCTTACTTTTTACAACTTGATATGTATTTGCAGTGTTAAATGTATTGATGTTTGGTTTCCTCATGTAAGCAACTTTTGTATTATGGAATTTGATAATTGCTGGTAGAATTCAGGGACAATTTGGAGAAGAGATGCATTGGAGTTTAAGGAGACTGACTCTGTTCAGATAAAACTAAAGCACGGTGTAGTATTACACAAACAAACCTCAATGAAGTTTGGGCTTGTGTCCTGCTGCTTCTGCTCCCTTTTCCTTCCAGTCTCCTAAGAAGCTTCCCCATCTGTTTTAGATTACAGTGGTGCCTCGCATTACGACGTTAATTCGTTCCAGCGAAATTGCTGTAGAACGAAAACGTCGTAGCGCGATTTTTAAAAGCCCAAAGAAATGCATTTAAACCAGATTAATGCATTCCTAGGGGCTTGAAACTCACCGTCCAGCGAAGATCCTCCCTAGGGCGGCCATTTTCGCTGCCTGTGCAGCGAGAAATCTGTGCGAAAACATAGCGGGCGGCCATTTTGTTTACCCGGTGGCTATTTTGAAACCGCCGATCAGCTGTTAAAAAATCATCGCTTTGCGATGATAGGTTCCCGAAGCAGGGAACCGATCATCACAAAGTGAAATTCCCCCATAGGGAACATCATTTTGTTATCGCAAAAACATCAACGTCAAGCGATTTCATCATCAAATGGAGTGCCCGTCTTGCAGGGCACCACTGTAGTTGCAGGTTAGCTTGTTCTAAGCCTAAACTGTAGGTAGTCTTAATATGTACAGTGGTGCCTCGCTTAACAAGCGCACCGTATAACGACGAATCTGCATAGCGATCCCATTTTCGGGATTGCTAATGCGGAGGCATAGCGTCAGCCCCAATGGGCAAAACTCGCGTAGCGAAGATGGGTAAGCGTTTCGCTTACCAAGCTTCACTTTGCGACACCCGCAAATCAGCTGTTCGGCGGTTTCAAAATGGCTGCCGGACGCCCAAAATGGCCACACACAGCGGTTTCACACCCTCCCCTCGCTTACCGAGGGCGCGGAAATGGCTGCCGGACCCTGGAAACTTCGCTAAACGGTGGGTTATGTGCCCATTTGGGCTTCCCCGTTCCGTTTAGCGAAGTTTTCACATAGCGAAGGTTAATCCGGAACGGATTAACCTCACTATGCGGGGCACCACTGTACTTGAAACAAGCAAACTTCATCAGATAGTATTTGGCATTGGCTTGTTCCCACTAGCCGTAATTAAGTTTAACCTTTGGACAAGCCTCACACTGTGATAAATTTAAAATAAAAGTGGAAGCTTCTGTATGCCTGACTATATTAGAGGAGAAGAAATTATTGTGTAATAGTGAGACTCATCTTGGCTCTTTTTTACAATGCCAAAGTATAGTTTAGTGTTGAATTCAAATCACTTCATTGGAGTTTTAGTTAATGAATTGAAATGTCAATGAATAATATCCGATGCAGTAAACATAAAATGTTTGGACAGAAGCTTTAACCCAGAAACTCCTCCTGAACTTTGTAGTGTGTTTTGTCCAAAGATACTATCTGTTATTTTAAAAAGCCCTGTGGTAGAGGGTGAATGGCGGTGCAGCAGGTGAAGATGCACTGGGAGGCGTAGTTGCAGATGGCTCTGGGTATAGAGTCGCTCTCAGCAGCAGAGTCCAGCAACCCACTGAGTGACTTTGCAGCTGTTTCTAGGATCATGCTGCTTACCTCCATGTTGAGGAAAGGGCCAGAAAAGGTGTTGTAAATGCGGGGCACCACTGTACTTGAAACAAGCAAACTTCATCAGATAGTATTTGGCATTGGCTTGTTCCCACTAGCCGTAATTAAGTTTAACCTTTGGACAAGCCTCACACTGTGATAAATTTAAAATAAAAGTGGAAGCTTCTGTATGCCTGACTATATTAGAGGAGAAGAAATTATTGTGTAATAGTGAGACTCATCTTGGCTCTTTTTTACAATGCCAAAGTATAGTTTAGTGTTGAATTCAAATCACTTCATTGGAGTTTTAGTTAATGAATTGAAATGTCAATGAATAATATCCGATGCAGTAAACATAAAATGTTTGGACAGAAGCTTTAACCCAGAAACTCCTCCTGAACTTTGTAGTGTGTTTTGTCCAAAGATACTATCTGTTATTTTAAAAAGCCCTGTGGCAGAGGGTGAATGGCGGTGCAGCAGGTGAAGATGCACTGGGAGGCGTAGTTGCAGATGGCTCTGGGTATAGAGTCGCTCTCAGCAGCAGAGTCCAGCAACCCACTGAGTGACTTTGCAGCTGTTTCTAGGATCATGCTGAGGAAAGGGCCAGAAAAGGTGTTGTAAACATTGTCTGCATCACTGTACTCTGGCTAGTTAGCTCCAGTTGACTAGGATCCCACATTTTGCAGTAGAAACTCACAAAATGAAAGAAGAAAGTCTTATCTCAATTACAGTTGGGCCATGGAGTGTTCCCTTTTAGATAACACCTGAAATAGCACACCTGAAAGAAGAACAGCACTGTTGACCAGAGAACATGGACGCTATTATGTTGACGACATTGCACATAGTGAAACATGCTTCTCAGAAGAAGGTCAGCTAAAAGAGTCCTGTCGTTAAGCAGGAGCTGGCATTGTGACTGGGAACCAGGTTGTCAGCAAATTTAGCAGTTTTCCAAAGGGCATCAGCAACTGCTTGATGGCTCTTAGACTCCCACTCTCTTGAAAATATATGCTACATTTGTCAGTGCTTATGCTTCAACCATGATGAACAGTGGTGACATCAAAGAAAACATTCACAATGATCTTCCCTTCACCCTTGATAGTTTTCCTGAATAAATGCCTCTACTATGCAAAGTATATCAACTGAGAAAAAAATTGCTTTACAATAATTCTGCTTTCAACAAAATGTGTCAGGAATTGCAGTCAGCTGTTAAGAGATGCAGAACTCACGTCTCAGTAGGAAGATAAAGGAGATTCAGGACTTTGCCAGTCATGGAGAAACTAAGAAATTACTTGAAGCAGTCAAAACCATATATGTCTCCCAACCTGTGGACACATCACCCTTCTTCAGTTCCAGTGGCTCTGTAGTCATCACAGAGAAATCACAGATTGCACAGATGGGCTGAGTATTTTCAAAATGTGTTGGACAGACCATCTAAAATTACTAAGGAGGAAATTAGCAGGCTGCCACAAGTGCCGATCAACAGTTCCATGGGACTCCCTTCCTCCATCCTCCATTTCAATGAGGGGGGAAAACAAAAAATTACCATAAATTAACGAAGTGTCAGAACAACACCAAAATCAGTTTGCATAGGTTTCAGGAGGTGGGCTAACCATTGCAACCATTTAAAACAGCTTCCAAACATTGTAAGACACTTTTACAGGAACGAAAAAGAGACATTGTTGTGTGAAAATCCCCCATAGGAAACATCGCTGTGTGAGGCGGCAAATTTAACAGAAAAAGGCATCGTTGTGTGAATTCATCGTTGTGTGAGGCACCCGTTGTGCGAGGCACCATTGTACTTAGTCACCTGCATGTTCATCCGTGTGCTACTACTCAGTCTTACCTGCTCACTACTTATTTGCCACTAAATATTGAACCTAAATATTGAAATGGTTGTCTTTGAAAATTAAGCACAAAATACAGTACATAGTGTCCAAAAAAGATACAGCCAGTTTTCATTAGATGCCAGGAATTCTGGGAGTTTTGTGGTGGGTTCAAACGGAGAATGACATCATGTGGAAGAAGTATACTCTAGAACTCAAAAGAAACAAGTCCATTAGATTATGGTGAACACCGCTGTAAATCAGCATCCTATTTCCCCTTATCACAACACTTTTAAAAGTCTGACAAGTTCCTTTTTAACAGCTTTCTTCTAAATTAATATTTAATTAGTGCAAGGTAACCTTTGGTATAAAAATACTTTTTTTCATATGTTTTACTTTTCTAAAATCTACCCTTTAAAATGTTTAGGACATTTAGTATGAAAACCCTTATACTAAATAGTGATCTACTTATCAGTTTATTTTAACAGCTGAATCATTTGATGCCTCTTTTAAAAATGCCATTTGCCAGTCTCTACAAACTTAGAACCCAAACAGGCCATGAAACAGCAATGATACTCAATAAAATAATGCAATGTCACAGAAATAGATTAGACAAGAATGTGATACGGTTGTCATGAAACCGAGACTAAGTACTGAGCCTTTGGAGACTGAGGAGGAATGTAAAATGAGCCTTATCATTTTTAAAATTCTATATCCTAGCTTTAAAATCTTGTAATGATTGTTTACTTCATTCAAAGACACTTCACAAATAAACTGATTTCTTTCAAAAAATTTCAACCATTTTGTTGAGCAGTATGTTTTCACTTTCAGCTTCTTTGTAATGCTGGGCATACTGAAGAAAAGTTAGGATTCTCATATGAAGACATCATCATATGGTAAGACATGCCATTTCATTTTTGAACATTATTTGAGCCAATTATGCATTTAAAAATTCTGTATAAATTAATGTGGAATTTATAGTAGTGAATTTCTGCAAATTAAGACGTCAGCATACATATTACCTGTCTCACATCAGCCTCATCATTTAATGTGCAATAGGAAGAGTGTGCACTGGCTTCTTAACTTGTGGTAATTCACCACTTGAGAGATATACCAATGTTGGTGTGAATGTGCAGTAGGATTCCATCTACTTAAAAGAGTATTTAGTTGTCATCACTTAACAGTTCCTGAGCATACAGATCTAAAAATTAGTGTCTTTACTCCAGAGAGAATGAAAGCATCCAAAAGGTAATAATGAAGAATGGATCAAGCTGACCACAGAGCCTCAGCTGGATCACCTAAATATGTCTCCTCTCCCACTAGTCTTAATGTGAGTGATAGTTGCAGTTAGACTTGCAGTTAGACATGAGTACTTCATAATCATATCTAGGGATGTGAAATATGAACCATGGCACCACAGATGCCACACTGGCCCAGTTCCCACCCCCAGAACTGGCCAGGCCACTCATTGGGCTCCTCATGGTGCTGGGATCCATCTTCAGCAGTGGCACACCAATCCTGGCAGGAGCCCAGCCAGCCCTTCCCCACCTCCCCATGCAGCTGACTGCCCATCTGCTGAGCAGGAAGACTCTCCATCCCACCTCTGGGCCGGCCAGGCTCTTGTTGAGATGCTGCAGTTTGTATTTTGTATTCCTAGATACAATTATGAAGTGCCCATGTCTACTTGAGTATTTTGGGATTTAATTCACTGGGAATCTGGTCTGATTTTTAAAAATATTGGTAGAAATACAGTATTGTAATAAGCTTGATGCTTTCTGATAATTTATGTGACTAATTTCTATCTGTTGCTGCCATGTTAGGCCATCTATGATTATAGACTTTGGGCTGCTTTTGTAATATCTGAAATGGCCAAAAGCCTTGAAGGGAATTTGTGCCTGGTACACCTGCATAGAATAAAAGCATTTCCCTGTGAAGCGATGTTATAGTCCATGATTATTAATAGGTTTAAGATACAGTTAATTCTGATACAAAACTGCAAATTCATGATCTTTAAATCTATGAAATACCATGTGGCTTCTGTTTATCAAAAATCATTATGTTAGCCAATGAACATTCATTGAAAAGTTGCTAATTTGCCAACCTTATAAAGAACTCTACAGTAATAGCAAAAAGGCCTACGGCATGTAGGATAGTTTCTTGAAATAACAATGATAATAATAATGTGCCATCAAGTCAATTCTGACTTACGGCAACCCTTTTCAGTGTTTTCTAGGTAGACAGTAGTCAGAAGTGATTTACCATTCCCTTCTGGGATGTCCTTCCCAAAGCCACACAAGCTGACTCTTCTTTTGAGTGGCACAATGGGGAATTGATCTCTGAACATCTGGTTCTTCTTCATAGTCTCTGTGAATGCACACTAATGGGTTAATCTGTGCACGCGCAGAGCAGCCTTGGAACATTCTAGAGCTCAAGCACATGGTGCCGGGACCTCCCACACGCTACCCTTAATCCTGCCCCTGGCGCCAAGAGCCTCGGTTCTGTTTCTGCTGCCGCTGCTGCAGCTTTTCGGCTTCGGAGCTCCCGCTCTCACGTTTTCAAAACAAACTTACTACTTTGACCTCCTGGTATTCTCAACTACGAGCTGTTGACAATTCCTTCGGACTTGTGAGTTGGACAAAGTGTAAAACAGAGTTGTTTTCTTGTTCTTCCCGGCATTTTGCTTATGACCAATTTGGGCCCCGTCAAATGTGCCCAAACAAAATAACTTTGTCGGATGGCCATTCCCGTTGCTTATTTTGCTTGGGAGAAGCACACCAGCCGGCTCTTTGTGCTGCTTGCAAGAATTTCACAAAGCCGGCACTTAAGCTAAGCCTACAGCATCTTCCCTCCTTTCTTTGGGATAAGTCTCTTTGCCCCATTTGGGACCCGGTTATGGATCAGCCACAAGCCTGCCCTTCTGAGCCTTCTGCAACTGCTGGTTGTTCACCTAAAATGGCTAAAAAGGCAACAAAGGTATCTTCCTTGAGCTCGAGGTCAACTGCACTGGCATCGGTACCGAAGCCATCTCTAGCCTCAGCACTGAAGAAAAAGAAGCCGTCGCAGAAGCCCTCCTGGTCCGTGGCCGAGGCCATGCCATTGCCTCTGGCTCAATCCTGGCATGACTTGGTATGCCTCAGAATACCATCGGGAGATGAGGAAATCTCTCCCCCAAGGCCAGTGACCATGCCATCCCTGCAACTGTGCCTGTCCCTTGACTGGGCACAGTTGCACTGGCCAAGGTGCAGCAGTTAGCGCAGGCCAGCCCGTGTTCCCTACCGGGCTTGGCATCGGGTCGGCTGTCAATATCTCGGCCCGTTTCCATGTTGCTGGAGGTTCCTACGAAAAGGAAGCAAAAGACTCATCATTTGGAGCCCCCGGCCGAGCCCGAGGTCTGTCGATACTGGCAGCCTCGGATGTGGCTGAAAACCACCCACTCTCTCCATCAGAGGATTATTCTTCCTACTATCAGTTAATCCGCAGGATTGCGAAGGTGATGGACCTGGGCCATAGATCAACCTGTGGCAGAGGAGGTGGATAAGATCTACGAGGATATTACTCAAGACCAGACCCCTTTTCTCTGCCTGACATTCATCTCTTTGCTCCTGAAGCTTGTCAAGGAGTCGTGGGACAAGCCTTCCACTTCCCACTAGGTACCCAGGAGAGTGGAAAACCTATACAGCTCACGGGGACAGTACAGACTTTCTCTCTAAGCATCCCCTACCCAATTCCTTTGTGGTTGACAAAGGGTCAGGAACCATTTGCCGTCAATACCAAACAAGAAGGAAGGGAGGAAAGTGGACATTTTTGGCTGTCGTGTTTATTCCTTGCCTTCCTTCATCTTGATAGTGGCAGATTATTCAGCGGCAATAAGGGCATACCATTGCCACCTGTGGAACAAGGCTTTGCCAGCCTTGGAAGCTGCCCCGGAGGGACTCCAGGCCTCGGTCCTGGCATGTAATCTAGGGGCCATGGCATTGTTGTGGCAGGAGAGAATAGCTGCCAGACACATGATGGACACTGCCTTAAAGCAGATTAACAGGGCAGTGAACCTGCGTTGTCACACTTGGCTGCACTCAGCAGGTATTTCGGAGGATGCAAGGGCCAGGATTGAAGACATGCCCTTTGACGAGGTAGGTCTCTTTGACGACAAGACAGATGAGATCCTGGACATACTGCTAAAACTCAGGAAGACTGCCAAGTCCTATACCAACCAGCAGGGCTGTCCACAAAATACCTGGAGCTGCCCTTACTCCTACAGGCCATTTCCAGACCGTCAAATGCTGCAGGCCTCTGGATTCTCCTCAGTGCCCTTCTGGCAGCAGGCTGGCAGGTAGCGCCCTTGCCAACAGGCATGTCGCCCTGACCGTAAGCCGAGACAGGGTCTTTGATTTTTACAACCCACCAGCAACAATCAGCACATCCATTCGTTTGGCCCCCTTCCTTCCCATCTGGCAAACCATCACCTCTGGTTCTTGGGTACTCGCAATCATAGCTAGAGGCTACACTATCAAATTCAATACTCCCCCTTTGCTGGGGTTGCTCAGGATCACACATACACACCCTGAAAATCAAGTCATCTCCATGCTTCAAAAAGATGCAATTGTTCAGGTTCATAATTTGGACATCCCACTCAACTCCCCCCCCCCGTTATTTCACTATCCCAAAAAAGGATGGATGACTGCACCCCATCTTGGACTTCCATCCCTTGAATTCCTATATCACTTCCCAACGTTTTCATATGGTCTCCCTCAACGGCATTATCCAGATGTTGAGGCACAGAGATTGGTTCTCTGTCATAGACCTCAAGGACGCCTATTTTCACATTAGCATCCAGCCGGAACATCACCATTATTTGAGGTTCTCCATCAAGGGTGACTACAAATTCAAGGCCCTCCCCTTCAGGCTGTCAGCCACCCCTTGGGTGTTCACAAAGCCCTGGTGATGGCGCATCTTTGGTTAAAGGGTGTCACAGTGTTCCCCTACCTGGACTAGGTGGTACCGTCTTGTGCCCCAGCTGAGTGAGATATAGCCTAAACTCTATCCCTTTTGTCTACCTTTGGCCTCCAGGGCAGCCTGGAAAAATCTACCCTATTTTACATTGGAGCAGTGCTTGACTCCTGCTGTGGCTGGACAGAATAACGAAAATTAAGCTGATGTTAGGTTCTTTTCTGCTGGGTGTTGGCCCTCCAAACCCAGCATCTGTTGGGCCTCATGGTATCTACCACAGCAGTGGTCCAGCAAACCCTTCACATCAATCACCTGGAATTGTTGGCAGTTTCCAAGGCCTTTTGGGCGTTTGAGCGGCGTCTCATAGACTGGGTAGTCCAGGTGGCTTTGGACAACATGACAATGGTCTATTATATCAAAAAGCAAGCTGGCACGCACTCCCGTCTCCTTCTCTACTTGGCTGTCCAGCTGTGGGAGTGGTGCTATGCCCACCACATCTATCCAGTGGCGGTGCACGTGGCATCAGAACAGAATGCCTTGGCGGACTGGCTCAGCAGGCTCCAGAGCTGCAGCCATAAGTGGACCTTGAACAATGAGGTCTTTTGTACACTTTGTCACCAGTGGGGCACCCCACAAGTGGATATGTTTGCCTCGGCAACCAACAAGAAGTGTGGTTGTTACTGCTCACGGGCGGGGATCGGTTTCCACTCCCAGGGGGGATGCGCTCATGTCCAGTTTGTCCACTGGTCTCCTGTACATGTTCCCTCCCATCTCACTGATTCATAAATATGCCCTCTATTCTATTATGTCTATTTTTATGTAAAATTGTTATATATATATTTATTGTTCTATTTTATGCTGTTAGCCTCCTAGAGTGGTCTTAACCGACCAGATAGGCGGGATATAAAATAAAATAAAATAAAATAAAATAAAATGAATAAGGCTATCATCAAAGTTCACCAGGACAGTGTGGACGCCATTGCCCTGCGGTGGCCTCGCCAGTCGTGGCTCTCTGCTCTGCATCAGAGGGCGGTAGAGTATTTCCAGCTCCTGGCAATCCCTCATCTTCTGTCCCTACATCACAGCAGAACGCTTCACCTGGATTTGGAATGTTTCTCCCTCCACTTGATGGCATGGAGGCTACCCCCACTGTAGCCAGTGTCCTAGATCATGCACGGAGGCGTTCAATGATATGGACATACTCATACAAATCGAAAGTCTTTTGCACATTTGGATCCGCACACCACTTACCTGTGCAACCCACCTCGCTTGATGCGGTCCTCTAGTTCCTTTTCCATCTCTTCTGGCATGGGCTGTCTCACTCTACACTCAAAGTTTATATGGCAGCTAAGTGGCACATCAACCACCCTCTTCAGAGACAGCAGCTCTGTTCCACCATCCCACTCTGAAACAGTTCCTGCGTGGCTTGAAGAACTTGACCCCGGCTTACAAGCCACCTACTCCGCAATGGTCCCTTCAACTTGTCCTCAACCACCTCATAGGGCCTCCATTTGAACCTCTGGCTACTGCATCGGAGCGGCTGCTTACTCTGAAGACTGCCTTCCTCCTTGCCATCATCTCAGTATGTCGGCCGGGAGAGCTAGCTGCTCTAAGAGTGGACCCTCCCTTTCTTCAGTTTCACCCAATTAAAGTGACACTCTCTACGGGTCTTTCCTTCTTACCTAAGGTGGCCACCTACTTCCACTTGAGCCAGCCTATTGTTCTCTCCACTTTTTTCCCTGTGCAGACTACACTCCCTGTTCTATTACGTTTCTCACTCCATGTCCTTCTGCACTTCAAATAGGCTGTTTTTCTCCTTCAAAGGTCAGTCTAGGGCAGTGGTAGCAAACCTTTTCGGGTTCACGTGCCCAAACTGGAGGGGGGGAACAAACCAGCAGGTGGCGTGCTGCGGCAGCTACACTGGAAGTGGCAGCAGAAGTGGACATCCCAGCACAGAGGTGCCTCGAGACCCCACTCCAGATCCACTGCCAGCGCCAGCTGCTCCAGATTCACCTGCTGAAGCGCCAACACTGCGGCTGCAGCTGCCTTCTCAGGTTTGGCTATGCGGGGGGGGGAGTAGCGATCTGGCGACTTATGGCTTGCGTGGCAGCAGAAAGGGCTCTGCATGCCACCTGTGGCACGTGCACCATAGGTTCGCCATTGCTGCACTAGGAGATATGGCCCAATCAGGGTCTTTTGGTGGATTGTTTTTATCATTCGACTGGCATATGAGCTAGCCCATATGCCCCTGTCATGCACTGTGAAGGCCTATTCAACCAGGGCTGTGGCATCGTCCATGGCATTCTTCAGAGGGGTTGACCTATAGTACATCTGTAGAGCAGCTACGTGGATTACAGCATTTACTTTGCATCCCACTATCGCCTGGATACCAGGGCCAAGGCAGAAGCTGCTGTGGCTCGTGCTGTTCTAGCCTCTATGCTTTTGAGACATCCCTTCTCCAGGTAAGTTAGCTTGCTAGTCACCTATTAGTGTGCATTCACAGAGACCACAAAGAAGAAAAAGAGGTTATTTACTTGTAACTCTAGTTCTTCAAGTGGTCATCTGTGAATTCACACTTCCCACCCTTCCTCCCTGATGTCCGTCAGGTTTGCCTTTTCCATGTTGGGAAGTGGCAGGCTGTTCTGTGGAACTGAGGCACTGAGTGCCAGGGGTGGGGTTAAGGGTAGCGTGTGGGAGGTCCCAGCACCATGTGTTTGAGCTCTAGAATGTTCCAAGACTATTCTGTGCATGCACAGATTAACCCATTAGTGTGACTTCACAGATGACCACTTGAAGAACCAGAGTTACAAGTAAATAACCTCTTGTTCCACAACCAAGTAACCTCTTGTTCCACAACCAGATACCTAACAGTAGGTATGTAATAGTAGAGGTAAGCTAAAATGCTTGTCACTGAGAAGTACGGTCACTGGGGAATATCTTCCCTAACACTGAAAGTAAAGAACAATTAGTCTCTGTTTATAGAAGCAGGGGTCATCCAGCTGAGTCTTTGGGAAGTTTAAGCTCTTTTGCATTTTTGAGACTAAAGAAGCTTCAAAACAGAAAGTATTGGGCCACACACATTCCACTGCCTCCTAGTTCAAATAATGACATTACAGAGGTAGACGTTAAGTATTGTTTCATGTTCTCAGAACTGCTGGTTGCATTTTACAAATTGGCATCCAGGTTGAATACAGCTAGCTTTAAAACACAAACCAAACTGCTTGTTGTTAAGCTGTTTTAAATACAGTAGTGTGTAACAGACTTATATAATTCTCTGAAAGGAGGGCAGAACAGTTGTGATAACAGGCAAGCAAACATGCTTTTGACAGTATTGTGAGCTTTTCTTTGTTTTTCTTTTCATTCTCTGATATTTTTGCACATTTATAATTTTATTTTGTGTTTATTAATTAATTTTTTAAAATACACAAAAACCTTATTGGTCAAAATACTGTTGATGTTTGTGTTGTTAACTGGGAGAATAACAACCTTGTGTATGATTAACTTTGGGTATTAGTGAGAGGGAACTTTCACAATATGCATAGTTGCCTCTCTTAATGTACTTTGACTTGCCACTCTTTTCCTGTTGTTTGCTTTGCCCCCAGTTGTTTCTCCCTCCCTCCCTCTCCTTCTCTGACAATAGCTGAGAGCACACATGTAAAATTCTGCTCTTGCTTCTGCCATGTAGCTGCAATGGCAAATTGAACTTTCCATGTGGTTGAAGGCTTGAATTTCTTTTTAAAAAAATCCTTGTATTCTTCTGATTGTAGCTGAAGATCAACTATAAGTTTTTTAAAAAATTCTTTTTCACTTAAGCCACTTGTAGAGTGATTCTTTTACATGCAAAGGGCTAGTTTTTCATTGTGAGAACAAAAAGACTAGTTGAAATTTGGGATTTTTTAGTTTTTGTTGTACTTTCTTGTACTTTTCTTCTCCTCTGCTTTAATTGTTTCTGTATTTATGCTTTTATGCTCTGTTAATTATAAAAGGGGATTACCACATTTCCAGAACTTAGGTTTGCATAATTTGCTGTGACTAATTGATGAGATAGTAGATAGTGGACATGATCATGTGCCCAACTTCAAGGGTGTCCTGACAGTTTGTTGCAGTGCTGCAAAACGTACACGAGCACTACATGATTCCAGTCATTGGTGCTGAAAGGTCAAACTGGCAGTGTATTAAACACAGTTCTGCCCATCACATAAAATTGGGAGTTGGGGAACAGGTTCAACAAAAGAAATACACTAGGTTTTAAAGTTATAATTATTGTCTTATCCACTTGTATTACAGTTTACGGTTAGCTTTACTAAATGAAGCAAAAGAGGTGCGTGCAGCAGGGTTACGAGCCCTTCGATACCTTATCCGAGACTCCAGTATTTTGCAGAAGGTGTTGAAGCTGAAGGTGGATTATTTGATAGCCAGGTAAGTTTTAAAAATGTGGAATTATCTTTTTCTTGATTGGAGTAACGAACTAGCATGAATGTCACTCCTGAGGAGGGGCCAAACATCATTTTTGAGGCCCTGTGTAAACTTGCTATATATTCCCCTTCTAGATTATTATCTCATCCCATATATAAAATGAAAAATGAAATAACAGTTTCTGTGTTCTGATTTTTTCCCATTTCTGAAATAATGCCAGATTCCATTCTGACAATTTTGTAACATTACACAATGACATGGAACTGTCAATCTGGTATTTCTAGAAATACTGTCTTGGGACCCTGTTGGTTTTGTTATGCCAGCGTAATAGCAGTGATGTAAATATATATACATGTATAGCGCACTCTGGTTAATTGCTGAAAGCTTGGTGAATATAGCATTCGGTGGGGTTATACAGCACCATAATGTCTGAATGGAAGATTCAGTATCACTGGGTTGAATTGTATTACGAATAAATAGAGGTTTTGAACTTTTTGCTTTACTCATTTGTAGAACCTGAATTTTTGCCACTGTAAAACAATTATGATTTAGCTCCAGAGTTTCTCTGTCCCAGATATAGGTGGGACAGAGTAGGGGTGATTTTCATCTGTTCCTTTTGCTGTCTTTCCTATGTGTTCCAAAAAGTGTCACCACCCACTGAAGCAGATTTTTAGATGGCATGGAGTTAGAAGCCTTTTGTAGATGGAATGATCACTTCTGTCAGGAAATCATCTGCGAAATGCTTCCAACAACAATATTATTAAATCATACATAATTTATTATCTGAATACAGAGTTCAAGAGATGAAATAAAGTATAATCTACTTTTTTTTTAAAAATAGGTGCATCGACATACAGCAGAGTAATGAAGTAGAAAGGACACAAGCACTTCGATTAGTCAGAAAGGTATGTAAAAGCAAAACTTCATAGTGCAGGTTTGTATTGAAATATATGTTACTGTAAAAGGAGTGATTGACATCTTAGAACTGCAGAGCTGGATGGGACCGTATGGATCATAAAGTCCAGCCTCTTTTAGGGAGGTACAGTGGGGAATTGAACTCCAAACCTCTTGTTCCGCAGCCAGATACCTAAACAAACCACTGAGCTGTCCAGTAGTCATACTCCACTCATTTTTGCTTTAATACTCAAAATGGCCCTCAGTGGTGAAGTCCAGTTAAAATGTTGAAAACAGATTCATAAATATGGAAGCAGAGTTTAGGAATACTTCAACAATTCGATCTTATGACCAGTTTAAATGTGTAAAATAACTGCTTGTTCTATGTAGCTTTTTTCCTCCTCATCTCCACTGCTGCTCCTGATCCTTTCACATAGCTCAAGACATGAGAAGTGAAACCAACAGAAATGGGGTGGAAGCAGCTAGTGCAAATGTGAAGCTCTGTAGAAGTTTTAGAAACATGCCATTTGTTGTATAAAGGAAGCAATTTAGGGTTGTTAGGACCAAGTTATTAAAGATATTAAAAACCTGGGACTTCAGAATTCACTGCCCAAAAAGGGCAGATAGCTGGCTGCTAATTAGAGGGCCTTTTGGGATGGCATCCTGATTGTGGAATGCCCTCTCATAGAAATGTGCATAGCACCATGTTTCTAGTATTTTTGAAATATCTTTTATTCACTTGGGGCTTTTAGATAGCCAGTGGGCTTTCATTGTGTTTCATTATAAATGAAGGCTTTTTAAAGACAGTGTTTAAGTGTTCTTTGATTTTTTTTAAAAAAAGAAAAATCTTTGTATTTTAATGGCCAAAATCTTATTGCTTAAAGTAGTAAATTGCACTAGAGTAGGCTCATCGAATCAATTGCGATTTGGTAACTTAATTCCTCTGTACATTATCTTGATTCAAATAGATCTACTCTAACTGTGACTTACTGTGTTGAAGCAAGTTGTAGTTAGATTCATTTGAGTCAATGGGACACATGGACGAGTTGATTCACTAAATTCCTGTTGAGTCAATGAGCCTACTGTAGTGTGATTTACTACAATAAGTAACAGGATTTTGGCCAATACATTTTATCTTTTGTGTTGTTTGCCATACAGGGAACATTGATTGGTGGGTGAGCAAGTAAATCTAGTGAGAGAAGTAGTTGTATAAATTCAGTAGAAGTAAATGCAACATGAAAGTAAACTTTACAAGGTTAAGCAAACTGAAAGTATATGATTTTTCCGCTTAAAGTTAATACAGGGAAATATGCTTTGTATTAATATGTCCTTCATTTGGGATTCAGTTCTCATGGTTTTTTACTAATCTTCAGAGTAGGACTGAAATGTAGTTTTAAAGGCATTTATTATTAAGCAGGCACAGTGGTTTAGATATGTTGCCATGCAGCCAGAAGTTGGGTGATTTCCCACTGCCTCCTGGGAAAATATTACCCTGCATAGCAAATAGGCAAGAAGTGCAGTCCCAGACCACCCCCAGAAGAAGAGAATGGTAAACCACTTCTGAGTACTCATTTCCTAGAAAACCCTGGAAATGATTGCCATACATCAATCAAAGGCAGTCCATTGTATGTGTGAAGAAAAAATAATAGAAGTGATTCAGGGTAGAATTTTGATATTGACTGTTTCTTTTACCATATTAAATTAAATATTCAAATCAACAGTATTCGTTTTTGTGTTGATTGTTGTTGGTTTTATTTACTTTCAGATATTATGTGTTATTGTTTTGATGTTGACTACTTAGCCTGGGAGTGTTTATGAAGGATAGAATATAAATATAATTAAATAATTAATAGGATACCTTCCGCTTTCTACTTCATGTAAAAACAGAAAATGTGCTAACAAAAAAAAAAGGCTTCAATCATAAGGAATTGCTTGCCACGAGGAGTAACTTTCCTCTCATCTGTGATTACCATGAGCTGGTTCATGCTTCCAATTCAAAACTTCAGGACTGTAAAGGTTTGTTTTTTGTGAATGAGAGTAATACACCTACTCTTTCTCTTTTGTTACAGTATAGAACTACACATATTAATTAAATGAAAGCCCTCCCGTTATTGTTAGTGGAGGAAGAATGAATACTATTGGGTTCTGAAGTTTAGTCTGAAGACGTTTCCTATTCTTAGGGTAGTATTTTTATGCAGTTTTGCACAAAATTTCTTTTAAACCGTATACTATATATATATATATATATAGAGAGAGAGAGAGAGAGAGAGAGAGAGAGAGAGAGAGATCTAT